GGAGGAACAACAACTAAGGCTTTAGAGAGCTAATAGTGTCAACATGTAATAATTTTTAGTTTAAATTGTTGTGTTTTTTAAAATAACTTGAGAAATTTTTTATATTTTTCTATAAAAATTGAGGTAAAAAATTTCTTTAGGCAACTTAATATTTAAAACGTAGCTGAAAAGCATACATATTAGCGTAAAAAAAGTCAAATCAATATAGACACGTCTTTTTTCTCTCTTCATAATTTCATTTGAAAGGTAAAGTAAGCATGTTTTATAAATGCGTATACAGTACTTACCTGTCAACCTTTCGATTTATCGGGAATTTTTTTTTTCGTGCATAGTTAGAGAGTAGTAGTATCAGTCGTAGTATATATGTTTGATCATTTTATTATTTATTTAATAAGTTTGAATTGTATTAATTTTGCCCACAAAAACAACAACCAATGCAAGAAGTACAAGCAGCTTATGCACTATCTACCAATAAGTATTTGGACACCTATGCAAATGACTATATATGCGGTCCTGAGATATACGTCACGCCTTTCGCCGGTATATATCGTGCAGGGAACAGCATCGGCCTTAGTCTCGTGCAAGATGCCTACTGCACTATTTTGGATGACATGTGCTTCCTACGTTGTGGCAGTTTTACGGAGTGGACCCCTGTTACTTCCAGGACGACAATGCCAGCTGTCATGTTGCGAGGGTCACCATGGCTTGGTATGGTGCCAATGGGGTTCATCAAATGGACTGGCCTGCCCAGATCTGAACCCTATTGAGAACCTCTGAGACGAGTTGGATCGTCGAATTAAGGGGTGTACTACCCGTCCAAAATCGGTAAAGGAACTTTCATGTCCTCTCCAAGCCGAGTAGAAGAAAATACCACTAGTCGTCACACAAGGACTTGTGGAAAGTATGCCCCGGAGGGTTCACGCTGTAATTAACTCTCGAGGAGGCTCTACCAACTATTGATTATGAATAAAGTTTTTTTTCCTTTCCCTCACACGAGTCCAAATACTTATTTGCAGATAGTGTATAAGACGTTATAATCACGCAGTGAATTTCATAAGTGCAAGCAAAATGAGTAACCTTAAAATGTTATTTCGTACCTCTTTAAAAGTATTGTGGGAAGCTTTAAATTCTGGGTTGGCATATATGACAGTATACATGAGATGGAGATATTTTTCCCCCCACATAATCTTAATAACTACCAAAACTTGTCTTCCTTGATAATATGATTATCATCGGTAAATATCTTACGTTATTGTCGAAAAACTATTACTTTCTTACAATTTCATGGTTATACAATAAAATTTAATGCTTTAGTCAAGTATATTGCCAGTGTTTTACACATTAGATATTAATAAATTAAAAATGAATAAATCATCTTCTGTCAGATTAAAGGTTTTTCTAGTCCTGACAAGTCGTCGCTTTGAAACTCAGCCGTAGTAACTCAAAAAAAAATCGAAAAATGAGATATTTGGGTCATTTTGCGTAAAAAAAAATCACCCTTTAGTGAAACAAAGTGTTATTTTCATAGTTTATCGCATTGGCGCGATTCGCCATCTTGGTTTTAGGAAATAGTGTAGCAGTGTGCCAGTTGCAACAAAACCGTGGAGGCGATAACGTCGCTTTGAAACTAAACCGTGGTAACTCAAAACAGCAAGTTTTTCAGGAGAGCAATTATTTTCCTACACTGTTGTATGTCAAAATTTGAAATGAAAGATGTAATATTAGGGAGAATACTTTGAAGAACATCGTTGTATTTTGAAATAACTCTCCACTTTTAATAAAAGTGTTGCATCTCAAAGTACCTTAACTTATTTCGAAATTACCTCAAAATTAGAACTGCTACAAGAATCAGGCCTGGTTCATTGAAAAATGTAAAGAAACAGGGTTTTTTTTAATGTAAACTATTTTGCAATAGTCGCCATAGCTTCGAGTCAACCTGCGGTGAAAGTTCCTGAAAAGTTAGAAGTCGCTCTCCTGAGAAACTTGCTTTTTTGAGCTACCACGGTTTACTTTCAAAGTGACGAAGTGTCAATGCTGCACACAACTTTAAATTCTCCTTTGAAATGCAAAGGTATTTCACCAAATTGTTTCAGAAAACGTATTTTTCATGCATTATCTCTTATCTGCAAAATATGTCCAATAAAATTAGTCAAAAGATTTTTTAAAACAAAATTAAATTAAGCGACTCACAATAGTATCAAATAAAAGTGAAATTTTGTTGATCAACTGTGACCCCGGTAGCAGAATTTAATAAGACTGTTTGTAGCATCATGTTCATAAATCAAAATGTGTCTTGCAAGCCAAATACAATCATTTGAATAAATTCATTTCAGGCTATTATAGTCTTTCTTCTTTAAACAGCGGCAGACATTGTCAGACTCAGTTACGATTGTCAGAGTTCATAAGATCGACAGACCACAAAAGTATTAACATTAATAACTATTATTTTCACTTTTCTGCAAATATTATGCGAGAGTTCCTGAAGAGCTCTTTTGCAAACAAATTTCTGCGTTATCGCTGAAGAAATCTCCCTCCGAAAAATTAAAAAATTTTTAAAAAATTCTTCAGACAGTATCTCGCTAGCTGTTTATATTTTTGGAATCGCAAACGAAAATTAATCTACAAACTCTGTGATAATCTGCAGCGCCTGCTGCCGTGGTGGAGGATTTTTGTTACAGCAATTATTACCAACACTTTTGGTAGCCTTTTAGCCCATTTCCGCAAAATGTCACAACTAGACTTGCAGAGTCGTGATGGATTAAGGGATAGAACGTTCGCCTTCCAATGAGGTGACCCGAGGTTCGAATCCCAGTGATGGCTGGTCGATACGAATCCGCATCCGGCTTGTAACGACCACAGTGCTTACGAGAAATTCTCGTGGTTTTCTTCGCCATGTAACGCAAATGCGGGTTAGTTTCATCAAAATGTCTCCACGAAGAGAAGGGAGAACATAGAATTTCTCCCAATAGTTGATCCAGGCCGGGATAGCCTGGTTGGTAAGGCACTGGGTCTATATCCAAGAGGGCGCGGGTTCGATCCCCGCCTGTCGAAGACTCCCCGTGTAGTAAATGGTGACTGATGCACGTTTAAGTCTGTCGAGTCTCGAAGTCCTATATGTTCCCATAACAAATCAATACCTCTGGGGGTACTGATCCAGGAGTTTCCTTGTCTTCTGGATTAGTTCAAAATTACAAGGCTACTGAGTTGAACATTAGCAGTCGTGAAGCCAAAAGAATTGGGTCGGCTGTTAAACGACGGTTATAAAATAAAATAATAATCCCAGCCTTATGATATATTAAAACATTATAGAAGTAGAGGAATAATATTTAGATGTGCCATTTTTGTCCAAATTTCATTTTTCTCCTGGGACAATTTTGGCTTAATCAGTGCATACGTTTTACCTTAAGTACCAGAGCAATAGTGTTAAAATCTGCCAATGGAGGGGTCCCATCACATATTTTCTTAGAAAATTGGCAGCTTTGATTTCAAACTTTTTTAGTCGTTGGAACAATTAAAAATGATATGTAGTTGTATGAAATGATGTTTTTTTTTGCAAAAAATATGCTATTTTCATGACTGATCTAAGTTTACAACAGTTACTCATGACCGTTGGGTCAAGTTTAGCCTAGCTTTAGCCCGCGCTATTTATATCATGAAAAAGGTGCAAGACGTCAACATTGTGAAAAGCCAAAGTTTTGAGAAAATAAAAAGGATTTTCTAATATTATAATATTTAAACATTTTACTTCAAGGTTTTTTTTTCTTTTCATATCCGTCGTTGAACAGCCGACCCAATTTTGGGTTTACGACTACTAATGTTCAACTCCGTAGCTTTGTAATTTTGATCTCAATCAAGAAGACAAGGAAACTCCTGGATCAGTACCCCCAGAGGTGTGATTTGTAAGTTATGAGAACATGGGGGACTTTGCGACTCGACAGATTTAAAGTGCTTCAGTCACCATTTACTACACGGGGAGTCATCGGTCGACGGGGATCGAACCCACGACCTCTTGGACATTGGCCCAGTGCCCTAACAATCAGGCTACCCCGGCCCCTTACTTCAATATTGCTGGCGATTTTTAAAAAACCTTAATAACTAATAGTATATTTTAGTTACTTGTCCTTATTAAAGCCTAGATGGCTTATACAGTATAAAATTATAGCTTTGCTTCAAGTGTAAGGAGCTTAAACTGTAGTTTTTTAAAAATTTTCCTTGAATAGCTTAAAACCATCCATGAGAACCCCTTCCTTCTCACTCCCGTATAAATGACGGGGTGAGGTTTCGCCCTCTATTTCTCGCTCCCGTGAAACTTCCGGGCTTGAGTGTTCAGCAGTAACGAGCCAATAAGAATTAAACTAATTCATTTTTTTCGCCCAGAAAACATTTTATTTCTCATTTTACACTCCAGATGGCAGAACCAGGATATTTTTAAGGTACTTGTAGATAGTTGGTTTATTTTAAACTAGATACTATCAAATACGTGTATTCGCAAAATGGGCACTTTTTATGACCGTTTTCTTGAAAATTAACCGATCGTTAAGGGGTTAAACAATAATTTAACAAATATATTAATTTACTTAGTTTTATTTTTTTAATGCATTTTTTTATTAACAATTTATTAGAATATTATGTCTCTTTGTATACAAAGAAAACCGGACAAGGTATTTTATCCCGTTATGCAAAAGCACACTTGTTCATAGTGTGTCAAAAATTTATCGTTCCTATAGTAATCTCCTTAATGAATCTTCTTGATCTTAATGTTGTTGCAGAGTTGGGCATCAGTTACAGTAATGGATTACAGATAATTACTGCTATGCAATTACTTGTAATCACAAGTAATCATAATTTCATTGAAACATTTTGTTTTCTATCCAATTCATTACTTTTCATGAGTATTACTATCAAATGGCAGAGTAATTTAGAATGGACTACTTATCATTAGATTTTTTCATTTTTGAACTCTGTTGATGCATGAAGGGAAGAAATAAATTTAAGAAAAATAACAAAATACATTTTATTAATAAATATACATTTTTGTTGAAGAGAACTGATAAATATTCACATATTTATTTTATAAATGTCCCTTATCATTTGAAAAAAAATTTTCCATCATCAATTTACAAATGATTCCTATTTTTTTGCTCATTCGAAAAGAAATTAATTGCCAATTTTGAGGTTTATAATTCCTGTAGGATATATGCAGGTGAGAAGAAAGTGTAAATAGGAAGAAGAAAAAAATATTAATTTATCTCTGTCTTTTTCAACTGTAACTTAAATATATATTTTCCGTAAATATCAGGGATTATGTCATAAAACATCAACTGAAAATTGATTTTTAAAAAATGTTAAAGTTCAGATGCGATTGTTGAGAGCACAAACTGCAGCATCTTCAAATTGGCAAGTGATAAGAATTTTTCTAAATTTATCCAAAAGAGAATGAAGATGGGATCGCCTTATATTTTCACAATACATGATCTCTTCAAGATGATGCTGACCTCTGAAGTAGCGACAAAACCTAAAGTATTGAATAAATAATTTGAGAAGAAAAAATTTCATCATAACAAATTTTGATTTACCTCCACTGGTTAAGAGAGTTCAGATACACTAAGAGTAATTCAAGTAAAAGTAATTCAAGTTTTTTATCAAGAATCAGCTTCCAAACTTCAAAAATTTTAACAAAACTCAAATAACAAGTAATCATTATACCTCTGTGGCAGAATTTTTTTGAGCTATCAGCGACAAAAACTCTCTTGCACTAATATCTTACTACAAGAAGATACTTTTAATAATAACAAACATATGTTACTAATTTAAAATAATAAAAACGCTGTGTTTACAAGTGTGTGTGTATAAATATAGGAGTATGTATATATTTCATTAACATTAACCCTTTGCATTTTGCAAATAATCATTATAATAAAAAAATCATGAAATAAGCAGTAATTGCCGAAAAAAAAAGATTGACGACGAAATCATGCAAATCGACACCCCAAATGCGTGTTTTGTTTAATATATCGTTTCGTTTAAAATATCGAATTTAAAAATTATGTTGAAATCAATAGCAATAACAATAAAATTATTGCCTTATTCAATAAAATTATTCGCTTAAAAAAGAAAACGCTGAAAAACACAATTCAAATTTCCATATTGTTTGCAATATTATTAGGATATTTAAAAGCCACATGAAAATCAATATCAATAACTGCCAAAAATACAATCGGAACATTACAACGATTTTCGATACTATCGGCGTAAATTGAACACGTCCAAAAGTGATTATCGAAATGCGCGATTCAGATATTATGTGCAAATTTCTGAAAAAAAAGAAAAATCTCTCTTTCGAGAACTTTGTAACATTCTGCAACAATTTCGCCGCAATTCTGCAATGGGGCATTACACCAGCCAATGAAATTGCACTCACAAACCTAAACTGACCCAACAACTATTCAATTGTGACATTTATAATACGACCAGTTTTCAATAGTTAGTGAGATCATGATAAAAATTGGAGTTCTTGTTTTTAATGATGTCAAAGTTCTCCCCAGGAACAGGATTTGCGAATAATGTGAGATGATAGATGAGTATCTTGATATCTGATATACTTTAGATTTTCTTTTTGACGAAATTTGAGTGTAAGTTTAGTTTGTCCAAAAGGGTCCATAGAAAAAGGTCAACCTTTATCTATGAAAAGGTACCGCAACATAGAATCGAATTAATATGCCTGATATAGTAGAGAATTGGAATTATATTATTGAAATGGTAGATACACTACACTACAACTCCCTCTTGTGGCAGCATTATTGCTGCAAAATGAAATTCTGTGGAGAAGAAAAAGAGCTACCTGAGAAAATTCTTCAAATCTTCCTTGCTGTTGGAGGAGGAGGAAGAATCCCTGAGAATGTCTCTCTCTGTGGGTTTGAGATTGGCCTGTCGAATGGAATCCTGTTCCCTCAGAGAGAGATCTTCATCTTCAGAAGATGCCTTTGAATGAGATTCATCACTTTGATCTGAAAAAAAAAACACAAAAATGAACAGTTACCACAACACGACTAAATATAAAAATTGTTTGCTAATCTCCACTTCTTTCCCATTTCACCCCACAAGCTCCAAACTACGTGGTTTAAACCAGGGCCCGGGGCAAAAACTTCTTTGTGGGCCCCCCTCTGCTTCACTACTTCAGTAATGAAGAACCGAATTTATGAAGGTATTTAAATTTTTCACCTCATTATAGATATATAACAAGAAAATTGACTAGAACCTAAAATACCTATAAATGTCCCCCTCCCTCAAATGGTCAGACGAAATATTGTTCTGTCCATTTTATTGATTTTTTGACATTTCTATGCCCAGCATGCCGAATGCAATTTTCCGATTGTTAACTTTGTCATATAGCTGCAAAAAATTCATATCCTTGCTGACATTAGGGCGGAATTCAGCTAAATTTTCGCAATTACGATGGCTCAATGAAGCCAATCAGAAGCATGTATTTTTGTAAACAACTCACATTTTGCGATATGTAAAAAAAAACTTTTGATTGGCTGAATTTGTCCATCATAATTGCAAAAATTTAGCTAAATTCGGTACTAGAAAGCCGTGGATTTACGAAATATAGTTTTTTTGTTGTTCATACAATAGATTAATGAAAAAGCTAACATAAAATTTTACACTGTACTAATATTTTTTTTAAAAAAAAGTTAATTAAGAAGGAAACCTAAAATAAACATTCTATTCGATGTGGGGGTTCGGGGCAACTGCCTCGTATGCCCCTGTCTTACTCAGGCTCTGGTTTAAACTTCTTGGATTATTTATAAAACAAGAAAGCTGCAACCATCCCAGAGCGTTTGGGTTTAATTAACATAATTGCCAACAAGGATAGGGAAAAATCCAGTAGATTTTACGAAAGATAAATTTCATTATAATTGTTGTAAAACACTAAATATTTTACACATAGGGAATTTTAGGGATTTTTATAGCCATCAAAATAGAGAAACTGCAATATTTTCCAGTTAGGATTTCACATCAAATGAACTTGAAATATTATGTATTATGTTTATTCATAATTTTGAATAGTAACAGGCATTTAATTCATCAAAGATAGTTAACTAAATTTTATAAATGAGGCTCACTTCATTAATGGCATTATTTAAATAATCAAGCAAGCACTAATCTGCACGAAAATTCTATTTCAATAGGGATTTTTTAAGGAAAATTAAATGTTAGGAAATTTTCTAAAATGTATAAAAAAATCAGGAGAATTTTTATTAAACCAGCAGACTAGGAGAAACTGGCAAAATCCAGTAGAGTTATATCAGTAACACCTATTATCACATATTGTTAAGAACCACTAATAATAGTTTTGCAATTTTTTATTTTATGAATTTTTTACGGCCATCTAAAATGAGGTAGTGCTAAAAACAAAGCAGTGATTCCTAATTAACCATGGTGAAGAATTCAATTTCCACCACCTGATCTCAATTTTTGTCAATCAATGGATTTTGAAAAAAAGGGCTGTCCATACAAATTTTTCAATATTTTTTAGTCCTTTTGCCCCTTTGTCACAAAATGTTACATTTCACATTACCCCCTGGTAAATAGCTGAAGTAATTTGAAATTCTATTACATGTGATAACATGCAATAAAATTTCAAACTACTTCAGCTATGTGTTTTAATGATATTTATGAGCATAACAATAATAATGGTTTGGTGTATACTTATATTGATGAAATAAGTATATAAACTAATTAAATAAAAATGTTTAATCAACAAATTTTGAATGTTTTAATTTTAATCAAAATGAGTGATGTTACACTCCTCCCTTGTCACAACTCCTTCCTTTCTTTCCAAGCATAACATTTATAGTTTATCCACGGTAAGAACTCTCGCCATCACAAATTCTGAAGCCGTCTGCTGCTATAGAAACAAGAACAGTGCATGTCAGGGTGGGTAGATTCTAGGGCTAAGACAATAGACCGAAGAAAAAGATTCCCTGTCTATCGCCGACCCCAGCCAAAATCTGTCCTAAACAATGACCCCACTCACCTACTTGAAATAAAGTCGAACCTCGCTAACTGGAACCTCGATTTCATGAATTTTTCGATATCTCGAAGGAAAAAAAGTTCCCTTTAAATTTCCTATACACTAAATGTTAAAAGAAATTTGATTTCTAGAAATTTTTTTCTAATCCATCAATAACTTGAATTTTTTCCAATACATAGTGTAGATTTTTTTTTCTGAAAATAAAAAAATATTCCGAAGAAAATTTTGAGATTAGAAAATCAATTCTCATAATCATTACCAATTCTCAAACAAGCACTTTCCGCAGTGGACACTGTATCAGAGGAGATATTTAAAGCTATAGTCCACTTAGAAAGTGTTATAGATAAACTTTCTTACACATCTCTAAAGCATACAACAACTGAATCTTTTCAAGTGTAAAAATTGATTTTAGAATAAATATGGAATAGTAAATCAGGTATGTAAAGAGCATTTTTCTTTATTCTACCATCGATTACATGCGATTTTCGGCATCTCGAATTTTTTCTCCTCTTCCTTCAAGTTCGAGATATCGAGGTTTGACTGTAGTTATAACTCCTTACTATAGTTACCGCAAAGGGTTCAGGCGAATGAACCCTTCTGATAACCAAAAATTAGAAAATGAAAGAGCAAAATCATGAAAGTAGAAATGATAGGGAAATAAAAGGAGTGGTCACCTGAGTAGCTTAAATCAAAAGAATGAATATTTGAGCAAGCAGGCGATCTCTCAGATGGAATGAGGTAGACATACGTATGCAGCTGGATAAGTAGCCTATGCTGAAGCATCCATATCACCATTTGAACCTGTTGAGCCTATTTTTAGGGAGGAAAATTAACTTAGCACAATATTTTGAACATGAATTTGCAGGAGCCTATTTAAGTACTATGCGAGCATCAAATGGGAGGAAGGGGTGTTTTCTTAGGAAATAATTATAAAATTATTTCCAAATTTAAAAAAAAAATTATGCACCAAATTTTAAATACAAGTTAATGGAAAGAAAAAATTGGAAAAAAAATTTTGTCTAGAAATTTTAGAAGTCAAGAGTTTTAACCAGGAGATGAAAGAATATTCTAATGGAGATTTTATAACATGAATTGACATAAATTTTATTGTAGGCAAAGTTTATTTTAATTTAATCCTTAAGCTTAGTTGCTATAGAAAAAGTCAAAGTAAATAGTATTGTTACTCCCTTGCATAATCATGGAGGGAGGGGGGTAGTAGTTTGCTTAATTTTGCTGACAAATTGGAGTCCAAAATTGCAAAAATCAGTCTTACGTAATATTTGAATGGCCCTTAGCTGCAAACAGGAAAGAAAAAATATTCGTAGATTTTTATAAAATTAGATTTTCTTTCAAACCATCACACATAAAATATTCCTTATATAAGACATTTTATGGAATAAAATAAAAATGAATTTCGATTTTCTATACCTACTAATTTGAATAAGCTAATAATATAGTATTGATTAATTAATTCACATAAATTTACTTTACACTGCTCATCAAAAGCAACACAAAAATAATTTGAAAATAAAATTATTTACAAATTGCTTAATTTCTTGATCAAAAAGAAAAGCACTCCATCTTGTTCAATCTTAAAAATTGAACCGGTTGTAAAATTTTAAGCGGTTTTAATTAATTAATTCATTTATTTTTGTCTCACACAGAGTAATATTTTGAAATATTTAATCAATTTTCTTTATTGGATAATCATAAAACTCTTACTCTATAAAAATGTATCAATAGACAATTTTTTAAACTCATAATTTACATATTTGCATTAAGTAAATAATTCTGCCCAATAAACTCACACTTGAGAATATAGATTGAAAATATTAATTACACAATGAATAATGCATCTTACGATTGGCTATAAAATAAAACATTTAACATCATAAATTAAAATAGTGAGCACCATAAAACATGATTAAAAAAGTTGTTAATTCCTATATGAATAAGACAAGAGTGACACAGCCAGCAAATAAACAAAGATTGATAGTTGAGAAATAATTGGTTACTTAAATCACTCCTGCACCTGTAAGCAAACTTTTGTAACTGAATTTTTTTTATTCTCAAGTATCAAATTTTATCCAGGGTTTTAAGTTTAATGGAATAATATTTGTGATGCGACATTACAGGAGCAGAAAAAATATATAAACCATATACTAGTTCCAGAATGTATTACAAATTATTGGTCTTAAGAAGAAACCAGCGAACAATCAGAAACAAATGAGAAAAAAAACTTCCTTGAGAGTTGTAAGTATTACATTTTTGTAACATCCTTTACTTCAGAATTTTTTTTCCCATTGTGTTTATAAGCTCCTGTGGGCTGCAGGTTGTTCACCCCTATTCGACTGTATTATTACTTTAGAATTGAAGTCATTGCTCAACACATGTGAAGTAAAGATTGATTAGTTAATGCCTTTTACCAAATGTGAATTTATTTTATATAAATAAGATATGCATCTTACCTGCTGATAGGGCGAATTGATTGGGTTGTGTAGTCCACTCAGTGAGATGGGCAGAGAGAATTTACTTAGGATTTTGAGAAGGGAACAGTTGGGAAACCTCTCATTGAACTTTGGCACCAAAGGGGAGTGTCTAAAATGAACAAGCGAATGAATAAATTCTCTTTTCATCTCAACCCTAAATATAACTAAACTGAAATCAGTGTTAATAAATATGGGTCGAATAATTAGTTAATTATTTCACTCAAAGGCTATTCATTTTAGTGAAGCAAGGGAATACCTTTTACACATTTGTTTACCTATACCTTGTAAACCTTTGAATGTTTTATTAGAAACAGATAAATGATTAATGCTAAAAAAAATTTACAGCAATAAATTAATGTGATGAGGTGTAAGTTTTATTTATTTTCTTCCGAAGCTCCTAGTTTTAGTTTAAAAAATTTCCAACAGTTAACACTGTAATTTCCTTTGATTTTTTACAAATTTTTTTTACTCTCCAATTACAGCATGAGATAGTGACTGAGAGTGAGCTTTTTGGGAGAAAAAAAACATAAAACTATGGGATTTTCAGTTGTTCCACTTGTAGTAGCATCTGTTAAAAATTTTACATAAATTCTTAATTACAGTTAAAAATTTACCAAATCCATCAACTAAAAATAAACATCGTTTAAGAACTTTTTAAACACTCAAAAAATGTTTTTAAACAGTATATACATTAACAAAGTGCAAAACAATTTTCAAAGACTTTACATGATCATGATAAAATAACTAGTTTCTGATAAGGTGTTCTTTTCTTGATTATATTAGCCATTATATAAAGATCAAAAGATTTTTCGGTTCGATATCAGAGAGTGGAAAATGAAACCTGACAATAATCTCACCGGTCCCAGCTCAGTCAATGCACATGCAAACTCTGAAGTATTTCATCAAACATGTAAAATGATTCGCACTTTCATATACTATGAATTGAATTGTGGTTGGATGAATTATGAAAACATTGAATAGAACAATTTGAAAAGGAAACTTTTGCATAATATGTGGCAAAAATCGCCATGGTAAAGAAAAAAAAAATCTCACTTTCGTAATGGGAAAATTAAGCACTTTTTAAAAACACCCAATAGAAAAAGTACCTTCAACGGCTTTTAAAAAACGAAAATCGAAAATAAGCACCTTTAAAAATGCTTTGCAATATGCAAAAATTATCATACTTATTAGAATGCTAAGTAAACAGTAGCATAGCAAGAGGGAGACAATTCAGGCTGTCCTCCTCACTGGGCATATCCTACGGGTGGCAAAATTACTAATGTCAACAATTTCTATAATTTTTTCTACTATTTTTTGTTAAAATTAAGTACAGTATAAGTAACAATTTTTTTTGAAAAAAATTAGCTTTATCAGAGAAAGGTTTTCTTTTAGACTAATTAAGATTACACGATATATTTCATTTCATAAGTTTTTAATTCCAAATATCTCAGTGTGGATAAAGGAAAAATATGTACATAATACATATTTTTTTAAACAAAATTATATTTCTTGAAAAATATTAAAATTTAACAAAAGCAAATGCTAAGTACTAAAGTTATTAAAAAACACCTTTTTTAAGAAATGAAAGAAATAAAGAAAAAGAAGAATTAGGGCAAAATCCAAATACACTCAAATATTTTGTGTTTTACCTCACGAATATACTAAGAACACAAAGATTGAAAAAGTCAAAATGTTTGATAGCTTTTACATTGATGGACCAACATAATCTTGATGGTAACCATCAATAATTCCATTAGGAACCACTATATTTTTTATGGTAAATAACATAAGTAAGCATGACCCCAATGTAAGAATTCAGACTGATTGATAACGGTCCAACATAAGAATAGCAACTTGTTTCGATGGTTTGTTCATGTCGTACCATCAGAAATTTCCATCATAGCTTCTTAGAAATGTTGGTGGAAAGATCATGAAGCACCATCACCCTACTGTAGGAATTCAGACTGATTTATGATGGGTCAAGATTAAAAAGAAACAAATTGTTTTTAAGTTATATTACTGAAAACCAACAAGAATCCCATAAAATAATCATGGAAATGTATAATTGGAACCATCAAGGATCATTATGGATTGTTGGTCCATGAGAATAAAACTTCTCTTGTCTTAACCATCATCGTATTTTCTTGATCTGGATCATTCAGCCATTCGGCTCAGCAATTATTAAACAAGATGTAAAATGTGAGGAATTGCTGTTATTGGTATTAAAAGTTGAGCTTAATGTTAAAAGAATAATATTATTGAAAAAATCATATTTGTAACAGTATTTTGATAAGAAAAATATTAATACAGTTCATAGAAATATAATTTAAAAATTGAATTGAAGTTTGTACAGTAGGGAACCGATTATCCGAAACGATCGGGACCATCGCTATTCTGGATAAATGATTTTTCCGGTTTTCTGAATCGCTACTAAAAGCTGTCTTTTTCAATGTTAAACCCAACTAAAAAAAAATATTATTTCGAAATAATCTTAAAAAGAAGAAAAAATGATTAAGTAATACACTAATGATTATTTCCAAAATGATGGTAAGGTAAACATATTTCAAAATAGAAAGAAAAATCCTAAAGTCTTATGAGGAAAAAAACATTTTTTTAAAAAAATGGCGGGAAAATTTATCGAACTTTCTTCCGGTTTTTTGGTTTTCTGATTTACAGATAACGGGTTCTGTACTGTATTTCAAGGAGAGTTTATATTTTAAGAACTCATGTAACTTCTTCACTTTTTAAAACCAGATTTAGTGAAAGTGAGAAGTAGTATCCAGATTGTCAGCCTCTCAGTTAAAAAGATATTTGAAAAATAAAGGCCATCCTAATATACATATAAATGCACTAATATATATTATATGAAATAAAGGGCAGATTATAGGAGCTCCACTCCAAGCGGCAAAACCTTACACCACTGCCTAGAAATTAAAAAGTTTGATGTTTGCACCCTTTTAAGATGTTTAAGTGTTACAATTACATTCTAATTTTCTAAACTGGTTAAGTCAGTAGTCTATTGGAGAAAAGTTCATTACGTGGACGCCATACTGCAAAAGAAAATGTTGCAAATTCTCTTTTTCCTTCATTACTAATTTAAAATTGAAAAGAAAGAAAAAGTAAGTTCAGACAAACCTAGAATAAGCCATAAGGTTTCTATTGCTGAAAAAACTACTTCAAAATATTAAAATGCAAACAAATTATTAGAAGAGAACTTCTCCATCACGCAATCCTAAATTATCCTCTCATAGTTTATTTTCATTTGTATATTTTAAAATTTTCTTTTCAGTATTTGAAACATCCTGGCTTACTCTAGGTTTGACTGAACTCACTTTTTCTACACTTTAAAATTTAAATTAGTAACGAAGAAGAAAGGGAATTTGGGAGGAAAATTTTCTACCATGGTATGGCGTCCTCTTAATAGATGAGTTTTAAAATATAAACAAGTAACCAACAGCGAAGCAATAAATTACAAGAACTGCAAGCGATATTAGTCAAAAATATCTAAATCACAGCAGGCAACAAGAAAAATAAAGGAAATCAAGAAGATTTTATAAAATAGTGCACATTGTATGCAAACTCGATATAAATTAGTCTGCACAAAACTAACTTTAAAAGCCAAGAATTTGAGTTAAAATATAAATAAACATTACACCACACTTTAGTACACTACCACTTTTTGCACAATTTAATTGATACTATTGATAGCTATATTTTTTATATTTGATAGACGTAAAATAGACTAAAGTAACAAATTAAAGTAACTAATAGACCTACAAAAATGTAGAAGGTAAAAAAGGATTTTTTTTAAAAAAGGAGAAGAATCAGGATTTTTTTTAAAAAAGAAGGGAAAAAATCCGATTTATTTGGCCCAATTTAGAATTAGCAAAATAAAAAATTTCACATAGCAATTGAAGCATCTGATAAAATGTATCAATAATATCTAATACTATTTAAAAACAATATGATAACAAAAATAGGCAATATTTTTTAAATAATTGGTATAATTATTGTGCTTATTTATCAGAAACTAATCACTGTAAAATCATAGTTTTTTTCCTTTTGTTGTTGTTCAAGCTGAAATATATACATATATATATATTTAATGGCAGGCACCTGAGTCTATTTCTCATTGGCCTCAGAAATGCCAGAATTGTTAATTTCTAATCGTTACCCAGTGGGCACCTGGGGCTAACTATGGCAGTGAAGTAGCGTCGCCCAAGTCATACAACCACAAACCGGTTTATAGTACAGGTTACATTCACACAGAAGAAAAGACATAGAACACAGATGGAGAGAAAGTTACATCCATGCCTACTGTGGGATTCAAACCTACAATCACTGGCTCCGTAGTCCAGTACAGTAAAGACTAGACCAGTGATCAGCTATCTTAACATTCTTATTGAATATTAAGGACAGGAAGGCAATTTGTCAATAATATATCCAATGGAGAGTAAATTAGTTTAGATCAGAAAACATTAGGGAAAAAAAAATTATCAATTATTCTAAGTTATTCCGGGTAAAACAAATCTTTTTTCATTATTGATACTTACTAACTATATACTATACTGAATAAATTTTAAAATTATTTGTATTTAAATAAACTTAAAATTTAATGAGTATAATTGCAATAAGTTTGTTACCAGCAAATTATTTTCCCATAAATACTGGAAAATTAAAATGTGAAAGTTTAAAGTTACTCTTATTCATTTTTGGAATTTTATTTTTTTCTAATGTATTTTGGAATATAACCTCATTTCCTTTCCTATCTTTTCTTAATTTTTTTTTTAAATTTTTATCAGCAGTGAAATCAGACATTTCCTTACATAATAAAAAAAATTGCACACTTAAAACAAGTATAATAATTATAATGGATAAAAAATATTTAAGACATATATTGATAATTTAAAAAAGAAAATCATATTTGACTTAAATAAGTAATTTTTTTTAGAAAAATCAAGTGGTTTAAATCATTATTTTAATCATAACTTAAATCAGGTAATTTAAATCATGCCAATCTTACTATAAAGATTATTTTTTGAAAAAGTAAATTAGAGTGATATTGAGTCAGAAATTAAAACTCTTGGTTTAATCGGATAAATAAGTTTTATTTCATGCAATTAGAAAGCTTTTTGGGCAGATTAATTGTCTGTTACAGATGTAACACAATTTGCTATGTACTTTAATAAAATTAAGATTCATAAAATTTTTTAAAATTACTAAAAATAAGGTAAGGTATGGCAGAAAGATTCATTTTCAAAGACTTATTTATGGCACAAAGATCTATTATCACAAAATTTTTTGGAACTGCTCGATTTTTTTAAAATTGAATTCTATGCTTTTAGAGTCTACAAATATGATATTCATTAATGGTGTAATTGCTCTGACCTAATAGGGATTGATTTCTTAACAATTAGGGAAAACACCACATCATTTAAAGACATACAATTAGACAGAATCTTACATTTCAGTGGGTGCATGACGTGAGGTTACATAGAAATTACTCTCACAGATAGGGTTTATTATTGTGGCTTATTTTCAAAGATCATATCACAAATTTTTTTGGAACTGCTCAAATATTTTTAATTGAATTTTATGCTTTTAAAGTCTAGAAATATGATATTCATAAATGGTGTAATTGTTCTGACCTTATAGAAGTTGATTTCTTAACAAGTAAGGAAAAAACAACAACATTTAAAGATAGACAGAAACTTACATTTCGGTGGGTGCATGAGGAGAGATAACATAGAAATTACTCTCACAGATAGGGTATATTATTGTAGCCTTGCCCCAATACAGCAGGTGACTCACTAATTGAAAAACCTGTGAGAGAAGAAAGATTAAGACACAATATTTCAATTTCATTTTAAATTTTGATATTTTTTTACATTTTCAAACAGCATTTCAAAATTTCATGAGTCGTTTATAATAAAAAAAATAAACTTCCCAGGCAAGTTTTTTTAAGTAGTTTTCCAACAGATTTCTTGGAATTAAACACTCATAGTTACACTTTCGCAATTAAATGATCTTCACAATGGACTTTTAAGATGTGACCTAGCTTATTAATTAATAAGTTGCGTAGGCAGATCTACAATTTTGTGTAGATTGCCTAACAGGAAGAGATATTTTTAGTTANGCAAGTTTTTTTAAGTAGTTTTGCAACGGATTTCTTGGAATTAAACACTCATAGTTACACTTTCGCAATTAAATGATCTTCACAATGGACTTTTAAGATGTGACCTAGCTTATTAATTAATAAGTTGTGTAGGCAGATCTACAATTTTGTGTAGATTGCCTAACAGGAAGAGATATTTTTAGTTAGAGCTAGTACCTAAAACACCTTCTGATTAACAAAATACTTTTAGTTATTTCAAATTCCACAGGTATTTTTACATAACCTGGAAGCAGAGTGTTCATGATTTAAACCGTGATTTTTTCTTTTATTTATTAGATTCTTTTTGATGTTTTAAGTTGTTCCAGAGGATACATAACATATTTTGAAGTCATTAAATATTTATTGGATTATTTCAGAAAAAATAATTTATGTTTAGATTTACATAATGAACTTCTGCATCAAGAAAGTTTAAACTGATTTATGCATGTTATATTTTTTTATTCAATTTAATGAAGGATAATATGATTAGAACAGAAGTGATAGGATATAAATAGTTACACAAGATCGAAAAATAACTTGCTTATTTCATAGCATTACTTTTAGCATAACTTTTTAGCTGCAAAATAAGTCATTTTTATATACACTAAAAAAAATTTTAAAAAATTAAAAAATAACTCTGAAACAAGAGTATTCTGAGAGTGAATGTAACTTTATAGTAAATGCAAATCTATTATCTACATGTTTTTTCACTTACCCAGCATTGCTTTAAGAATAGTTAGCTTACAATTTATTTTATTATTATTTTTATTTTTCCAGTCAATATTTGTTATAATGCTACACTTGCATAATTTTTTTTAAATAGTTCTAAATACTTTTCTTAAGAAAACCTGACAAAATATCGAAAACATTACTTTCTTTTTCTTTTTTTTTTTTAACCTTAGATTAAAAAAAATGATTGTGAAAATTCAAGTGATTTATATGATTTAGGCGTAGTTTTCTCTAATAAAAATACAACTAAACACTTATCAGAACCATAATATATTTAAACCAATAAGAGGTTAAATTAGCACGCTTTGAAAGCTAACTAGAAAATAAACCTCCTCTTAAAACAGATCAAGGAAATAAGGGAAACATAAAAACTTCTTAAATTAAACACTTTATTTGATACATATTTTTTTTTTAAAAAAAGAAATTTAATTTTTTTTTGCAATTCTCTACTATTCTAAAGGACAGAAAAAGATTAAGATGACATTAAAATTGCCTACATTTTTGCAATTTCTGTTTGGTGATTGAAAGAGTTTTCAAATCTTTTTCAAGATATCTTCACTATTTTCAACTTTCTGTCAAATTTTTAATATACATGACTTGCATTTATATATAAAAAAGTTCTTCTACAAACAGGGGTGAGCCACGACTTTTGAAGTATAGTTTCTTTCCTTACTCACATTCAGTGGCATATTACTTTTTGGTGCCATTCAAATATGACTTTTAAATAATAATTTATTTTCTTATTGACATTTAGTGGCATATTACTTTTTGGTGCCATTCAAATATGACTTTTAAATAATAATTTATTTTCTTATTGACATTCAATGGCATATTACTTTTTGGGGTCATTCAAATATTATGTGAGAGCTTAAAAGGCTTTGTGGATTACTCATTTTTACTGACGAAGGGGGCAAGGGGTTTGAGCAATATTTAAAAAAGACCCTAACATGCAATTATTTAAAAAAAAAATTTAAATGCAAAAAAATGAACATACAAAAATTTGGAAAAATTTCCCATTGCAAAAATTTTAAGCTTGAAATAAAAGTTAAATTAGGAATAAGAATAAATAAAAAATAAAAAAAAGAATAAATTAAAAAAAGATTTCTTCAAGAAGTTTCAAAATTTTATATAACTTAAAAAAAATATAGATCTTCCTTTATAAAAAGTTAAAACTTTTATTTGAATTTATTCTTGAACTTAATAAAATTAGACTATGATAGATTACACTAAAAATAGGCAGGCATTGCGACTTTCTAACGTAAGCATGGGTGGGGGGTTTATAATATGCATATTTTTGTTAACAAGAGGGAGTCATAAAAATGATAAAAACATGCTGTTAATTACATACATCAAATAGAATGGAAATATACTGTACATAAAAATTAGAACTTTTTATAAAAATATTCAAAAATATCGTTTTACGTGCGTTAGAATTATGTCAGCATCAGCAGCCAACTGTTGAAAGTTCTTTAGGGGGCTTGTCACACTGATAAGTCTTATGAGAGCAGGAGAGGAATCTTCGGGAAGAGAACTCAGTAATTCTGTTGCTCCCGTCAGTAATAATAAACCATGGTAAGGCCTACAAAACATATTTTCATTTTTTTAAACAAAATGATAGTCTTAAATTTCACACAAGCATTTATAACTGTTAACATAGAAACAACTCAAGTATGATACAATTTCAATAACATATAGCGAGTCCCTAAATCAATTTATCTGAAATTGTGACCAAGTAAAATAGCATCAAGTAACTGATTTAAGGCACAAATATATTACATAGCTATTAAGAAATGGTTAAGGAAAGTTTTTGTATCTCGGGATCTTTTTGGCTATTGGTTTGAAATGAATCAGTGCGAGCCAATATTTTTTAGTGTTTTTTATTTAAACTTAACGAAACGACAACAAACAAAAGACTGAAGAGAAAAGCTATGTATCCTTACAGATGCGCACACTGCACCATCTATCGCAAGGTAAAAATTTAATTTAATGGAAGGAAGATGTAACAAAAGTTGTATTCATCTGAAATAAAAACTATAAATTTATAAATCTAAAAATCTATTATGTTTGATCTATTTCTATAGATTTTAGAAACAGTTTACAAAAAAATCTTAAATAAAAAGATAAATAAAATTTTGGTGGCAGGAGAGTTAATGCATACCTGCGAACATTGGAGAAATAAAATAACAGAGATTTTACTAGTGGTATTTCTTAAGCTATGATCAAAGTTTTGATACATTATGCATAATCATGTCAGTAAAAAAAAAATAATTCTAAATTGAAAATAATATAAGCACTTACATTTAGCGAGGTAAAAAATATGCATATATATCTTAATCTAAAGAAGATTTTTTTAAAGTATTATTTATAATAACTTAAAACTATTAACGCTCAACATACTGCAGTACTGGCAATAGCACCATTTGTTGAGGAATTAGAGATGTATTTTTGCCAACAGAGGATATTTTATCGACAAAAAAATTTTTGAAACAATTTTCTTCAACAAATGTTGAGAAAGTTGATAATATACAGGTAAACAGGAGATAGTCATAAAATACAGAAGTCTTCATTAAAAAACAGGAGACTTGGCAGGTATGTTAATGTTTCAAATTGACAATATGTATTGAAAAGCTTATTTAGTAAAATAATATGGCCAAAATTTAAATTGTAATACCCACCTCAAGTTCTTCAAACAAGCTTGAATACATGCAGGCTGAAATAAAAAGTCTTCAATATATCATATAAAATAATTAATTTAACACATAATTAATTTAGCACATGATATAGTACTTTTCTTAATCATAACAAAATAAGAATTTTAGTTAAAGATGAAAAAAACATGGATTCCATCCCATAAATTATTCAAAAGTGATATAATGAACTATTTAAAAATAGAATTAATTTAAATTATAAAAAAAAAATATTTCGATATAATTAACGAAAAAGGAAGCACAGTTTTTTTAAAAGATATTGACGAGGGAGTCTATGGAAACCAATTTACAAAATTCACAGTGCGAATTATTAATGTTGAATGAATTAAAGCCCTATGTCGTTGGAATTCTAATCACAGATTAGAGTTCTCTTTTGTTGAAATCACTCAACATTGCTCGATTTCTGGTAATCATTCCACGATTTGAAAAAAATCTAATAATTTGAATAATGATCTTTCCAGTACTTCATACTTTCGCATTGTTTGTAAATCTATTTAAAATTCATTTTCCACACCTTCCTCACAAGAGTTTCCACCCATGCCTCACACACTTGTTTTTTTACATCCTTTCCTTTATTATCTTGTTCAAGTTCATTCCTCTTCCCCAATTGATTAAACTACAATGCATTTGTTTGTTTTGGTTTCTTTTCTACTGTCCTTTTGTGTTTAGACACTAAAGAAGGTTCTTGTTCACAGAACTGCAACTATAGTATATTCATTTGTGCTTTATTCACATTGTTTTTGTTTAATTCACAGAGCAAAGCCTCTTAAATTCTCTACACTTGGGACTCTTTTGAAATTGTGGTGGTAAATTTAAAAATGAAGAAAATTTTTCCCATTGCCTAAAAATCTATTGAATAAAACATATAAAACCCACAAAGCAGACAGTTAATTGCACCCTAAAAAATCTGGAAATTAGATATATAACATAAAAAGCACAGCTAAGTTTTTTTACGGGCTTAAGTGCAAAATTGACAATTTTAATTAAATTCATTATCATTTGTATTAAATTCATTCAAAATTTTCAAGCAATTTCTATTAATTTAAATTATTTGATTTTTTTCCTCCTTCAAAAAAAATCTTTTAGGTTTAGACTTTTAGGTTACAGCTTTTAGGTTTAGAAACTTGTTTTAAAGGATTTGGAATAAATAAGTATATTAAATGTATTTCGATCTAAACTTATTTCACATGAAGCTTATAGCTGCTGCATATTGCGACAGAATTGTGGCGACACAGCGACGTTGTTGCGTAACGTTACAGAAAGATTTTTCCTTTGGGAAGTTAAAAAATTTCGTTTCTTTGACTGCAGAAATATTTGAAACCTAACATTTTTTCCCCTGCTGAATCATATTCAAAACATGACCATTTTTCACGATCAGAAGGAAAAGAAATGTTTGCAATTTTTTTCGATTCTCATTTGAAAATGAAAAAAAAAAATTATGACTGTCTTAATCTAGAATTTCAAATAGATAATAGCAAAAAGAAAAGAAACCTGAAATGACAAAAGTTTAAAAGACAGCTTACTCTAAAAATCATGTTCATACTTTCATTTTTTAACGAATATCGTATTTTATATTTTAATAAAATATGACTGTGAGTGGGAATTTTGTTATGAATTCAGATTTGTAGCAAAAGAATTATTTAATCAATATGGTACATTTGCCCCTATTTCTTTTAAAATTTGGTTGAAATATAATCAATCCAATATTTTTAACATAATACGCACAGAAAATTTTTTAATATATTACACATATGAAAATTTTGAATCACACCTTTCAGCCTTCACTTTATTACTCACAACTCACACCAATCACATTGTAAATATTTGTAGCGTTTTGATATTTTTTCCCCGGTAATTATTCCTACAAATTTTTACATATTTAAATTTTTTTTTTTCAATATCGATTATATTAGGCACATGAAGTTTGAATAACAGATTCAAGGAATCTTAGATACACTCAGTTTGTGTTGATATTAGTGTTAATCCATGTGGTGTTTCAAACATTCTTTCAACAGTTATTGCTATGAATTTTCAATTTTTTTAAAAAAAAATATCCTCAAGCAAAATATATAAAAATATCCTATAGCAAGCTCAATTAAGCTGATAGTATCATAAACCCATGAAGTGTTTCGATGGTAATTTTTAACAGTTATTAATATTGATTTTCACATGGTTTTTAAATATCCCAATATATTTCAGACAGTATAGGAAATTTGAATTGTGTAGTTGAGTATTTACTTTTTAACACAATGATGCTATCAATGTTTTGGCAGTTATTGCTAATGATTTCCACGTAGCTTTAAAAATCTGATATTTTTAATCCCATATCATTTATCACAATAGCAGAATCTTGAAACGAAATAAGCATTTGGTAACCCTTTTTTGAAGAGTCAAATAAGCATGATTTCATCATAAATTTTTTTCGGTAGTTATTCACGTATTTCACGATTTTTAATTATTTGTTTTATTGCAGTGACGATTGCAAAATATGGAAAAGGAAAAAATTGGTGTGTTTTACCTCCAATAAAATGTGCGAATAATGTCCATAATATTAGACTAAAAATATATTACATATTCAATTAAAAATATTATCTACAGTTTTAAATTATTTATTAACTTATTCATTTATTTATTTATTTATTGTAAACACAGCTTCTGTTACTTTCAATTAGTAACATATGTATTTCTTATGTTACTAAGCTACAAGTGCTTAAGAGTATTGTTGCAAAAAGCATGAAAAAATTCTGCACAAGGTGCATATAAAGTACTGATATTTCAATTATAATTATACACACATAAAATTTAACTAATTATCCCTATAAAATTTAATAAATGTCCCAAAATAGCTTTAAAAAGCATTGATTCAAATCAAATAAATCAAAATATTTTATAATTAAAAAAAAACACATACACAATGCAGTGGAACTTAGTAAAGAAAGTAACACTGCAAAACAAAAAATAAAAAAGAATGAGGGGAGATTAAATATTTTAAATGACATCAGAGAATGGAGGACTGTATTCCGATGGAGAAAGCTAGCAACTTAGCACTAATGAATGGTGATCTTACCTCTATCAACAGCCTCTCCTCTTCTAATGTATTGGGTAAACAAAAACTAAGCTCGATCCAGCCATTTATTTTGAGGCGAACCATTCCATTTGTTTTCAGACTTTAATAGGTAAAAAGAATAGAGTTTAGAATTGAGCAAATAAAAAAAACGGCAAAAACAAGAGAAAAAAGTGACAAAATGAGACTCACTCAACAAAAGCCATTTTCAGTTGAACAGCAAGTTCACTTCTTGAAAGGATGAGTTGGAAAGGAGACTCCTCATTATCTGCCAATATTTCATTTTATACATTAAAATAATAAATATAATTATTCAATTACAGCCTGCAGTTTAAAGTTAGAAAAAAATTTTTGTTCTGATAAGGTAACCTAAACAGACATAAGGAGTCATTTAAATATTATGTAAGCAACAAACAGGTGGAGAAGGTTTACGATTGGCTTATTTTTGCTGACATGGGGAAATGAAATCCCCTTATTTTCAAAATTGTTTTAAAATGTAAAAAGAAAGAAACAAAAAGATTAAAATTGAAATACCGCAAATTTGGAATTCGATTCAGGATCAGTTGGAAAAATGTCTTTGAAGAATTTTAAAAGTTAGTTAATTTTGGAGAATTTTAAAAGTTAGTTAAGTTTTGCCCACAGAAGGAAAACACAAGAGGCTGCTTATAAATATTCTACTCAAAACTTTATAAAATTTTGTGCAAAACATCTTTAATTTGAATTTAATCCTTAAATTAGATTGCTACAAGTAAAAAAAAAAGTGAGGAAGGTATTGCTTCATGGAAGGCATTTATGATTAGCTTATTTTTGCAAAAAAAGGAGAAGTCCAAAATTGTCCAAAATATGCTTACATAATATTTGAATGGCCCCAAAATATCTCTTCAAATTCCCTCAAATGATGTTTTAAATGGAAAACTAAAAGAGGTTTTAAGTGTTTTAAATATATAAATTTTTTTCAAAAACAAAGGTATAACATCTTAAAAATGTTTTTCCAAAGTTCGAGATAAATTTCTTATTCTGAAATATGTGGACATGATAGAACAAAAATCAATGCTCTGATCTTATTGAAATTTCACATTTAATGAAGGATTTTTTTTTTAGTGCTACTTACTTTACAAAATAATACAAATTACATTACCAAAACAAAAATCACATTTCTTTTTATCTAATCAATTTTTTTGAGAAAAAGTGTGCTAAATTTCAATAAAATTAGTGTATTAGTTTTTGATAAATTGTATTCATAGCAAGAACCAAAGTTTTTTTCAAAAACCAGGAGGGCTAAAAATCTTCCCTCAACTACTAAATTTTCAAAATCATTTGTTGGAAATTTTACAAAAACATTGTTTCATATGCTTAAGTATTTGAAAATATTTTTTTTTTTTTTTGAGTTGTTCATTTTGTTCAATACTGGAATCCATGACTTTCCATGATTTTTCATGACTTTACAGATGCGCAGATACCCTGAATATGCTGAAATGTGCAAAAAAACATGTGGAGATTCAGTGTTTCTTGAATTAGATTATATTCTGTTGGAAAATGAGAAATATATTCCTGAATAAAATCTGATTTTAAAAAAAATCAAAACAATAGTGAATTACCTTCAGGTAGAGATGCAATCTCATCGTGAGCACTCTGCATAAGTTTGACCTGCGAAGTGAGGTAGTTACATCGGCTTTCCTCGTGCCTGATAGCAACAGCCAATCTATGACTCAGATCATGATAACAGGACACCACAGAATAACTTGCATCTGCCTACAAAATGAATTATCTTATTTAGAAAATTAGTTTTTTTAAATAATAAATAATTTTGTTTAACAGTTGTACAAAATTGAAGCAAATTACATATATACACTAACATTTATAATACTTTAAAATTCACATGAGCATATATCTCTAAAATATGAAACAAAGATACAAGAAAACAAAAATTAAAGAGGTATACTTAGTAATCAATAAAATAAGAGAACAACTTTTCAACAACTAAGTCATTCTAAAAAATAATAAAAAAAACTAAATTAATAAAAATATTATACAAATAAACATTATTTGTTATTTGAAATTATATTATGTTACTTGAAGTTAAAAACGTATTTATTATGTTATTTGAAATTAGAAACGTATTTAAGCAAGAACTGTGTTATGAACAGAAGAAAAAATATATAAAAATGTAATATGTTAAGATTTTCTATTTAAAAGAAAGAATCATAAATAGGGTGAATAGAAAAAAATATGAATGAAGATGGTAAAACCACGAAATTAATAAAATAATATTAAAATAACTTATTTTAATGATAAATACCAAATCATGATGTAGGAAACAAACAAATAAATAAATTAATTGAAGTTATTATTTATTTGAACGTAAGCCAAATTATAATAAAACTCTGATGAATCAGAGTTTATTCAATTAAAAATAATGTTACTTTCATAGATATTAAATAAATAAACACAGCAGACAATAAAGAAAAAAACTTTTTGTCATAATAAATCAAGGATAAAGAAAATTAAAAACAAAAGTGGATTCTTAACATAGCAATGCTTTCAAGGCAGAAGTTTTAAGTTTCTTAACTCAGAAAACCAGTTGACAACACACCAAAAACACTTAAGAATAACAGAAGAATCTTGAGGATATAACTAATGACAGTTGGGCAGGAAAAAAATTTGATTATTTTTTTAAATCCTGTATTGCACAAGCATAAATTACTGTATTGAAAACGGAAGAGTAAAATATCACAACTTGATTGGATGTTAAATTACCTAACAATTCCTGGTTTTGGGGAAAAATTTAATTTTTCACTGACAATTCCCTGATTTTTTTAAGAATCTAGTTTTCTCTTACAATTCTCAGCTTCCCCTATGTTCCTGATACATACAAACCTATCATTATTATTTTTTTTTAATAAATATAACAGGGACATGTAAAAGATCAGTAAAAATGAGAGGACCCATAACTAAATTTTCACCTGACAGATACATTTATGCATACAAATTTTTAAAACAACACAAAGAAGCAGGGGAAGAGATTTAATTGCATTATGAGAAAGAACCAAAAGAGAATAAGAAGGAAAAGAAAACTAACAAAAGTTTTCTCGTTATTGAGAGAATTAAAAAGCTAAAATAGCAATGTGCTGGCGTTTTTGATTGACAAACAAATAATTATTACAACATCTTGGACATGTTTTCACATTGCATTATGGATATTATATATGTATTTGAGCTATAAAATTATATTGTCCGACAGGTTAAAAATTCTGATTGAGTATACGCTAGCAACATTTTTGTAAAGTGATAAAATGCTAAAAGGATTACATTATAAATTATGTTGAGCAAAGCGTTGACTTATTTTGTCTCTAGATAATAAATGTTTTTAAAATGTAATACAATATGAACAATCAACTGACCCGAAGAGCAAAAACAACATTAAACATAGTAATTGTAGAAAGTTCTCGATATGGATCATGAGGAAGACGAGTTGGGTGCCCAATAAATCTAACATTTTCTATTTTAAGCTCGAGTTTTTGGCCACAAGGTCCTGGTTTTAACAAAGTGGATAAAAGCTTATCATCAAATCTGAAATTAAAAAAATAAATAAATAAGGATTCTCATATAAATCATTCCATTCTACATTTTTGAATTTAAAATGTTTTTGCAAGTTTATTGAAATAAGCTTGAAACACAATTAAAAAACTTCTTCTAGTTAGGTAGTGTTTTTCAAATTAGCTTTTGGTTGAAATGCAGGGGTAGTACAAAAGTAACATTTATTTATCAGAATTTATAAAAAGATGGAAAAAATTGCCCTAAGTTTACTTAAACAAATAAGTTTGTTTCAATGCAAATAGTTTAGAGTTGGTCTCCAAATTTAAAAATCAATAATCAAAAATATAAGAAAATTAAAAAATAATTAATCATCAATAAAATGAGGAAATAAGACTTTCTTCATAGCTTTCGAAAGGGCTTTACAGAATTAAAATTATAATATATAAAAATTAGGGAAAATGTGTTGTAGTTTTTGGCATATCTATGTATTCCCACATAATTAGTGTTTGTCCTTAAAAAAGCAATAAGAAAACATCAATTTTATATCACATTTTAAAACCTGAGCATTGCCTTAAGGTTGAAAAGAATGAAGCAAACCAGTGGCTAACCATTCTAAGAAAACTGCAACTATCTGAAGAAAAAGAAACTGTGTTCCAATTCAGACTTTAAAAACATGAAAAGGTGAAAAATATTAATAATAGGCTGGTTAGGCTGTTGTACAAAAAGCACTTTTTGACATTGAAGTCTAATAAAAAAGACAAGTCTAATTGGTTTTATTTTAGAAATTACATAATAAATAAAAGAAATATACAAATTTAGGTTTTATTATTAATAAATATTTTTAAAGGTCCAGTCAGTTTATGTATAACAGAAAATGAATTTAAAAAAAACACTCGAAAATAAATAATTAACAATCAATATGTAATTAACGTGGCTTTTGAATTTGTAGTTGAATATCTCACTCTACAATGAACAACCATAACAGGGCAACTAAAACCATTAGGATTGTCCCTTGACTATGCTAGCTTACGACATCTTTGTACTGAAGTTAAGCAATGATGCTTTCTACCGTAATTGTGTTCAGTACCAACGAGCAATTATAAAAATGTACATGCTTCACGGTAGATCTCGAGAAAAGCTATTTGACAACAATTTTCTTTCTCTTTCTAATATTATCAATGCAAATGTATAATTTCAGATAACTAGTGAAAAAATTTATTAAAAAAAAAATATTTGCAATATATAGCTTATACAAAATTGTTATACACATCTCAACTTTGAATTTTTTGTTGCTTACATTGATTTTTTTATTACATGACACAGTAACATATGAGAAGGGTTTCTACAGATTTTGACAACATATCCAAGGATGATGGTATCATTTTTTTCTTCAAATTTCATAATTGTTTAATAAGATTTCATATGTTCCTGTTAAAACTCCATTGTGCCTTAATGTGGCACACATGGCATGTATTGGTAATATTATACAATTTAAGGAATATAATCCTATTTGATCAACAACATCTCTTTCAACATTGAGCTCTAAAAATATTTTTTAAAAACTTACCCACTTAAATTACATTCTTTAGGATCCAATCCTTCTTCTCTAAACAAAACAACAAAAAGTATGAAAGAGCACCATTTGAAGCAATACATTTTACCACAAAGGTAATATATAGACAAGTTAAAAAATAACAAATTAGTGGCAAAAATAACTTCTTATAAACTAAAAGAATATTGCACAAAAACATTCAAGTTCAGTTAAATTAATTAGATAGTTATCTTAAAATGTAAAAAGATAAGAAGTGTAGAGAAAGAAGTTATCGACAATGTCAACCTTCATCTATGAAAAGGTACCCCAACATAGAATCAAGTTAACATGTCTCTTATATTAGTGAAATGGAATTGTATTTTTGTAGTGGTAGATACACTACAATACTCCCTCACCCGAATTAAACATGCATTCTAATTCATTTCTTCAAAATACCTCGAAATTATACCTATTGTTAATTATTGTTTCAGGAAATGTACAGTAATAAAAAATTGACTCCACAATCATATTAACTCTTTTCCCCACACTATAAATCTAATTCTTAACTTTTAACAAACATACAACATTCAAATTCAAAACAGCGCCTACTATAACATTCATTCCAAAGAAGAAGAAAAAACGATGCAAAATTCAATCCTAAAACCAAAATTTAATAATAAAATTTCAGCAGAAAATGTTAAGTAGAAAAACAGAACACCAATAAAATATTCATTACGTCAATACTCTTCTCCTCCCATTTGTGCAAATAAAAATCATCATCACAGCATCGAATATCCACTTCCAAAACAATCTCCTTATTTTTGCGACATACACAATTACAAAAGTGTCATATACATCATTACGACGTCAAATATCCTTCATTACAACCTTTGCCTAAGTCATTCAATTAGTTTGATTTTTACATAATTCTATTCACGTCTTCGTGATACTACTAAAAAAATTTATATCATGCTAAATCTTCATTTAAAGATAGCAAACTCTATCACCCTCCCAAATATTGCCAAATCAAAGAATTAAGCCAAAATCTTTTACTCGATCTTGTATCACATTTGTAAAAGAAACAAAAGAAAAATAAACACTAAGAAAGTAGAAGTAAAAAAAATATAACTTACTGGGAAATTCTCAAATCATCTTTATGATCACTTAGTATAGCATAAGGACTCTTCTTGCTACCTAAATGTTTAAAGAAATGTGAGTAAATTTTTTATGAGGGTATCATACACATTATTTATTATGCATTATAAAAGAAAAGAATCTTAGTAAAAATATTGCATATATAGTATAGCAAAAAATGAACAACCACTCAAACAATAATACAATAGAGAGACTAAATAAAAAAAATTTATTTATGGTGAGTAGTATGTGAAATCTATCAACAATCTCCAAGATCCAGAGTTGTTCATATTAATTATGAGAGAAATACTTGATTGAGTTTGACTATGGTTAGCAGGATGTAGTTTCTTTGTAGGATTTAAGTATTATGGTTGGTTCAGATACATTTAAATTTGAATATGATGTAGGGATATTTAACAAAGAAAAATGAATAAAATTGATCAGGAAAAACTGATTTACTAAATATATATAAAATTAAACTTGCCCACATTCCTAAATTATAAAAATAAAGAAAAGAAATCTCTCAAAGGGCTCAAGAAAATCATTCTCTTCACATAATGAATATTTGGTAAAAATAAAATAAATATTTAACGGTTGGGACCAGGAAGCCGAAACCTCTGGTCTAATCACCAATAATTCGAAATTAAAAGTAAATTAATTGTTCCCAACGGACAGTGAGGAGCATGGGAAGAGATCCATGGTTGGTGATTTATCGAAAGATAACATAGATAAAAATAAAACAAACTCCCCATAATCAAATTAAATTTGAAAATAATTTGGCGAAAGCAAATTGCCAAAAAGATTATGAGAATTAGTATAACCATTAAACTGAAACATTTTAAGGTTGTAAGAAATAATGAATAAAGAGTTAAAAAACAAATTTTTGTTTTTGACTTAGTCCAGACAGTGAGTCTTACATTAGCATTCAAACAAAAAGTTAGCCATTACATTGACTGTTAAGAAAATAATAAAATATTTTATATTTGCTTTTGATAAAATGTAATAAGAATAAAATAATTAGCAATAAAAAATAAGTTTAAGAAATTAAAGAAATTTTAAAAGATAGGAAATATGTAATGCTTATTGTGATATCACAGGAAGTAACTCACATTTGTGCTGCAATTTAATAATGAAAATGTTACCATTCAAATGTGAGCTTCACAATTTACATGAACACAAATTACAATAAAGCACCACGAAAGTTAAGATTCCCATGCTTTTTTTTTTAGTTTGTTCATGATGTGAATAAGACTCGGGACATAACATAATAAAAGTGATCACCTAGTTACAAGGTTTGTACAAGTATTATAATTACAAGCATTGGAAACTAAACTTTCAAATACATTGTTCTCTTTGTTGCATCAAGAAAGATAGACCAAAATTCTAATGCATCACCATTGAGAGACACCGTATGAGTCTAAGTTATGCACATAAACGATGGGTGTACATTTGGTATTTTCGAATTTTCTTAAAATTACATAACAAAAGTAATTTTATATAATCCAAATTATTTCTAATCTAAAAGGCAACAGTTCCAATTGGTTCAGATTTTCGAAGTTCTTCTGTAGCTGTGTCTATTTATATATATTCATGTTTATATAAATAACCTAAATATAGAATAGGTGCCTAAAATACTCGGTAGCTCAATGTTTCATTTTGCAACAGCTACACCACATTGCAAAAACGTAATGAATTTTTGTCCAATTGAATGCTAGTAAATATGGTCAAGTGGAACATTTTTAGAGGACAAGAGCAAAAATTACAGTAAAGCTTTTTTGGTTCAAAAATGAGGAACACTCTCTCTCTAGATCTATATACAGTTATAGTCAAATTCTTAAGAAATATAATATTCTCATTTTCAGACAAGTTAATGAGACAAATAAAAGAGGATGAGATAGTTCCTAATATAATAAGAAATATTTTCATTGAATAAAAGAGGATGAAATATATTCTCATTCATTTTCAAAAATTTAAATTTTTAATTAATCATTGCTCTGGAATATTTTTTATTAGATTTTTAGAACAATTTTAACTTTCAGTTTAAATCAATTTAAATTAAGAGTTTAAGGTATTTTTTGCTTTAATATGGTATCATAAAATGTAAGATTAGACACTCATTTTTTAAAATATTTTTTTCATAAATTTTTTTTTCTTTACTTTAACTTAGTAAGGAATAAATTTATATAGATTAAAACTCAGAGCATGAAAGTTATTTTAAATTTTATCTTTAACAATAAGTAATGAAGAAAACAATTATACTTCATCAGTATTCAATGACTTTGTAGTAGTTTTAAAATTGACAGTTTCTCTAGTCTCACATAAACATTTACATATGTTTGAAAAGTTGAATAAAAACAACTAACTTGCCCATTCCAGGCCCGCAAGGCAATCAAAATGATTATACACAAAACAAGTCAAATAATTCAATAATTAACTTTCTTATTTTGTGCTCTTCAACATTGCTGTTTAATTTAATTTAATATAGTACAAATATACTTTTTGTTCAAAACAAATATGTTATGTTTCCTCATTAAAATGGTATATATATATTAAGGTTTAAAAAAGAAAGAACAGTTGTTTAATGGAAATTCACAAAAAACAATGCAATTATTTCCAAAAAAAATATATTAAAATGCAAGAAGTATATTGAAATGCAAAAAATTAAAATACAAAAATAAAATAATAAATGTCTACAATAATATGATAGCAATGAGAGTTCTGTTTCTGTAATGTCATTAACTTTTTCAAATTAGCCGTGAAATATAAATTTATGTTTACACACACATTATAAACAAAAATTATATTTTCTGCATTTAAATTGCTACAAAGGTCTATAGTTCTAAAAAAAAAAAAAAAAAATTTGAATTCTTAATATTTTAATTCACTCTTTCATTGCCCCAGAGTAAGAAACAAAACTTAACTGAACACTAAATATACCATAACCGGTCAAATGACCGGTGTTTTTAACTATTTTCCTTCCCAACATTCATATTTCACACCATCAACCAATAAACATACAGTCCGGTCATTTGACCGGCTATGGTAGAAATAAGTATAGATGAAGTGTTGGTATGTTTAGTGTTAATAAGATCAAAGAAATCGTTTAGTTGTTAAAATAAATACATCCCGTGGATTAAAAAAGGAAGAAAAATACTACCTTTAACACCATTTTCTCTATTGACATCGAAAATAAAGGGATAGCGAAATAGTAAACGATCTCCTTTACTTCCAGAGGTGACTAAAAACAATCCAATTGGAACTGTCTCATCTACCATTTTGTAAATTATCTATTAAAAACAAAAAAAATGTCAATTTATAAATTCAAAAGTTCTATACACAACTATTAAATTTAAAATTATTAAAAATTTTGTACAGCTAAACTTAGATAACCCAAAGGAGTGTCAAAAATCGAAAGTATTTCAAGTTATCGAAGTATATCTTTTCAACTAACAGAGAATTGAAATCATGCTAATAAAAATTATTTTCAATATATTTTCCATACCATTAAGAACAAAAAGAGTTCTCAAAAAGAATAAGAAGAAAGTGAATTATATTAAAAAATATCAAGTAATATAAAAGATATGACAGGGTGCATAGTCAAATCTTTCAACTAAAAATAAGCACCTTTTAAGCACTAAAAAAAATATTTTTTGATGTGATCCCTGTATTTCTGACAGATATTTCATTGTTATTCAAATACGCGGCAATACAGTGACATTGTCCCAGAATGTTACAGAGCTCTTGCAGAAAGAATTTTCTTTTAGAAAGTAAAGAATTTTGGTTTTTTTTCTGCAGAAATTTTTTATCTCTAAAATTATATTTAAATTTGCACATCGGAAGAGAAAGAAATGTTCGCGATTCTTCGATTCTTATTTGAGAAGAAGGAAAAATATAGAATAATGAAGTAAAAAATTTCTTTTCTGCAGAAATCATTCTTTGAAGCGCTCATTTTGCTCCGATATTTTCATTGATCCAGGTATTTCAATCGTTCTTAAGACAGTTATTGCTACGAATTTTTGCTTTGTTTTTTCGAAATCTCAATGCCTTTCATTGCTCTGTTATCCCCAGGAAATTTTTTAAATTACTGATATTATAAAGGCAAGTGAAATTCGAATCTCGGATTCGAGATATCATTCATTGACAAGCTCGTTTCGCGCTGATATTCTCGTTAATCAACATGATACATTTAATTTGCATGATTTTGCCATCATCCTTTTTTTTGGTAGTCACTGCTAAGGACTAAAAAATTTTTACATTTTATTCTTCGATGTGATGATGATTTACAAAATGCAAAAAAGGAAATAATTAGGGTTTTAAAGTCTGAAAATAAGAAAAAAATAATTGGCTAGCAAAAGTATGAATAAAATAAAATAAACACATAAAGAGATAAACAACAAAAATAAGAGCAGACGATAAAATTATAAAACTTTTTGTAGAACAACAGAAAGTTGTTTGCTTTTTTAGAGATCAGTTTGCTTTAGAATTTGAGTTTTCTTATAACCCGCTACGGGTTTTTCTAGTTTGTTTTATAATATTTTAACTATCCCGTTACGAGTACTTCATATTTGTTACTGTTTGTGAATAAAAAAAATTTTTATAAGAAACAGAACTGTTATTAATATAGCTTGATATGTTACAGGGTGTTTTCTTCGTTAGTAAAATGTGAGAATCCCGCCCATTATATTAGAATAAAAAAAATATTAGGTACATATTTCTTTAAAAATTAAATAAAATTTCATTTTATTCAAATAGGTTTTTTTTGTAAACACAACAGTTTGGTTACTTTAAATTTAATTAGTAACATGCATATTTGTTATTATAAAAGCATCTTGCAAAAAGATAATATAGTGTAAGAGAGGTTTGTCACAGAAAGCCCAAAAATTCTGCCACAGGGTTCAAATATCATGGAGATCACTGTTGGATTTGGTAATATTCAGCTTTTTCATAGAAGTTCTCAAAGATGTCCACAAATGATCTCAAAGATATTTTGAGAACATTTGTGTCTGTGTAAGGTGACAATCATCACAGGTTTTTGTCAGTCTTAACCAAATTTCTGCCCTTGGTAAGTTTAAAACCAATTTTTGAAGCCAAAAATCCAACTTAGGTACCATTTTAAAAATCTGTAGCTTAAAAAAAGGCTGATAACTTAAAAAATATTTCTAGAAGGATTTTAGAAAGTGGTTGTCTTATAATACAATGGTATTAAGATTTTTTATAAGAATTAATTTATATACATAGGTTTTAATTACTTATTTGTCGGGGTAGTTAAAGCAATTTAAGATTTAATTTTTAAAATTAAGATTTTTATGATAATATAATAAAATAAGTATAAATATTTCTACCGCAACGAAAAAATTTCTCACTTGGCACCTTAGGAAATGTATTGATAACAAAAGGGTGATTATGATAAAAAGGTTAACAAAAAGAAAATATACTATAACTAATATCTTCAAGCTTCATAGCAACTGTTACAATAAGAATTTCCTTATTTACCCAATGAATTTCATTTTGCTATAAATTCTGCCAAGTATTATCTTCGTTTGTTTGGAGGTTTAGCACAGGTCGATTTTAGTTGCCTGTTTCTGCTTTGATGAACAGTAACCATAATTTTTTATAAAAACTAATATTTAAACTGTATAACTTTTAATTTTAACATTTGATCGAATTTTAAATGCAGCTAAATTTTTGAAAAAACATGTTAGATTTAAAATAAAATAAAAAATACAAAGCATAATAATGACACTCATGAGAGTATTTTTATTTTTTAAAATATTTTAAGAGAGACTTTCAGTATGCAGAACTAGACAACTAAAGTCGTTTCATTACTTTAACGAAAGAAGTAAATAGTCGTCAAAAATGGTGAATTCAATGATTCAAACTTAATTTCTTTGTATTTTAGCTATAAATAATTCTTCATTTAAATACTTGGCATTAAAATCCCTAAGTTAATAGTTGTTTCATTTCCTTAGAATCAAATGTAGAACATTTGACCTACTTTTTCTATCTGAAAATATTTAGTAATTATATAATTGAAAATATATCATTATGGCAAGCTCAGCTTCAACGAACCGCAGTTCTCCGCCTCAACGATTTTGTAAATATATTCATCGATACTGCAATCAGACACGATTAGAAGGATATGATTATTGTATTCGGCATATTTTAGAAGATAAGACTGCACCTTTTAAGCAATGCATGTATGTAAACCAGCCAAACAAAAAAAGATGCACAAATGCTGCTCCTAAAAATGATAAAAACGATAAACGAGAGAATGTCTTCTGTCCTTTCCATGCGAAACGTGCTATGCTAAAAGTTAGAATTTCTGCACCTAAAAAGAAGCTTGTGGAAGGCCCTGTAGCACTTCTTAAGTCTCTAGAGCATTATTGTCATGATCCAAATCACGATTCCTCCAGTAAACGTGATGCTGCAAATTTTGATAAGTCTGATATTTCTGCCTGTAAAGGAGAAGCTCCTACTACCTTAAGTGACCTTGAACCTGCTCTTGATGAAGACAAACCTGTACAAGAGAGAGCTCGTATCGACAACGTCGACGACGACTTCTGCTGGGTTGAAAAATTTGGAGATTCCTTAGCAAATGCTGGAGCGTATACTCATAAGGAAATTTTGACTATTGCAAAAGAGAAAATTCTATATTTACAGCAGCTTTATTGCGAGGAACTAAAAGTTGTTTATCATCAGCTGAAAGAAAATCGAAGGGAATTTTTATCAGCATTGCACAGTTCACAGGTATCTACCTCTGAATTGCCGTCACAAAAATCAGATGAAACTTCTCTTCATGCTTTAATGCAGCATCATCGGCGTAGCGGGGCAGAGAGAGTTCTTCGTCACAAAGTGCAAGCAAAACGACTTAACACGGATAAGACCTCTTCGGTGCAACAAAATTGCACTTATGAAAGGAACGGTAAACAATGTAAACACGTTGCAATAGTGTTGACTAAATTTTGCAAGAATCATATTTTGTTTGATCAGAACCAATTGTTATTCAAGCCCTGTCCTTCAGGCTTGAAAAAGAAATGCAAAAGGCCAGTTTTAATCCTCGAAGAGGATGAGGCATGCGATATGCATCTTCACAGATTATTAAAATCAAAGCTGGGTCAATCTCGTCGGCCATCTTCGACGGAGGTGGCCCCTAAAGCGGTCCAAGTAGAGCCAGAGCCATTCCAGTCAATGGATGACATAGCTTCTTTAGGCTTAGATGCTACCGATCCTGGTTCATTATTTGGTTTGGATCAATATGGTGAACCTGGTGAATCTACAGATACTGTACTTTCTGAGGATCAGGCAGATTTGATGCAAATTCAACCAATATCTCTGACACCACCTGCAGATATATTGAGTGACAGTAGAAAATCAGAATCTGAATGAAGTGATTTTTTTTTATTATTCTCAGAACAATTTAGAAATATTATTTACTTATATGTATTGTGTTTCAAAAAAAATTAACTACTGTACATATGCTTTTTTTAAAAAATGTACCATCTTTTTTTGTGAAATTTAATTAAAAAGTTTGCAAGAGCTACTTTGCTATTACACGACAACAATGCTTAGTGACATTTTGACTTGAAGTGTTATTTTTCTATAAATATGGAAAACATCTATATATCAAGGGTAGCTTTTTTTTATTGTTCATAGAAAGTGCCACAATTGTGTACACTGCAGTGCTACTTTTAAAATCAGTATATGACAATAACATAAAGCGCATTAAGAAAAAATTGATCTTGATATTTAAATAATAACTAAATACTTTCGTAGTTTCTGATTAAAAACACATCCACAGAATTTCCCTTAAGAGGAAGTGGGGTGCATCCAGAAAGAATATTTATTTCAATATTTAAAGAATCTGTAAAAAAAATTTTTATTGCTTTGTATTTCTTAGAAATGTTTTTATGTGAGAGGTTTTCTCAAATAGTGTCAATAATTTAATTAAAGCTACTAAAGCAACAAATATCCATCTATGTATGCATACATATTTTTAACAATGTTTAAATTTTAAAACTAAAAATTTATGAAACTCTTGCTTTATTTAGATTCTTTAAATTAAATAATTGCAGAAAAACAGAAACTGTGAATTCTAGTGTTCTACAATACTTTTTTTTTTATTCTCTACTCAAGTGTTTTTTTTTATTTATTTCTTAAAAATATTAGTTAATTATGGCATTAAATTCAAAGCGGCAACTTGAGCACTTATTTAATGTTAATGAATCCAATTTGCCGTTTAACAAGCACAATTATTTGTGATTGTTTTAAATAGAAAAGTTAATTACTTTTTTAAAAACTTATATTTTTTCAGGTGGTGCAAGTGCACTCTCTTGACCACCTTGGTGTCCTGACCCCCTTATCGGAGATCAACACTCAATGCATAGTTTATTTATAAGTTCATAATTTATTTAATACTTTTTAACTTGATACTTAGCTTATTTACATTTTATATAGATAGCCATTAAATTCTACATTTTATTCAACTCTGCTAGAGCACCAAGGCAAAGACAAAATAGGCATATGCCTCCATGTTTGAAAATATGTGTTTCACTCCTGTTTGGAAAAAAACTTTTTTTTTTTTTACAGAAAATTAGTTCAATTTTTTTTTTAAATTTAAAATAAGTTTCCCCTTTGTATTTTTTAAAAAAAATAACAAACTTCACGAGAATTTTTCCTGATGCTTCCATTGATTTAAAAATATCTTTTAGATTCTAATTCCTGCTATGAAAATCTTCTGAATAATTCAATTTAAAATAACTTAACTTAAATTTTGCAAAATACTTACTAAAACTATCATTGTATGTCAGTATTTACAAGATTTTATATTTAATTACAATAATGTGTAAAATATAATTAATGTATTAAATTTTTTATAAAAAAAATTTCTTTAACCGCACAAGACCACCTTTGACTACAGCCTCAACGATTATAGTGAAATCTCTACCTTTATATTTTAACTACTATTTGTATTTTTTGTATTCATTTATGCACATTTAGTTTTGACTATTTATTACTTGCTTTAAATTGCAGAAATTTTAATTGTAAATTGCCAAGCTTATATTTTCTATATTAGCATTTAAAATGATCACTGTTTTTTTTTTTGTTTTTTTTTAATGGTTTATTGTAGTCTGTTTAAAACTAAGCTTTAACTGTTCCTAATAAACAGAATGAACATATACTCTAATCTTTTTTTATATTGTGTTTATACAAGATACATTGTGAACAGTGTTCATTACTTTTTAGCACATGCATGTGCAATGTATAAATCTTTGGTGACTTTTGAGCAATTGTAATAAAGTTCGTTAGTTGTGTATTGCTAACTTATTTTTTTGTATCCATCGTGCATTTATATTAACTCCCCAGTGCACACCATCAACAAGGTGCGTAGCGTTTTTAAAAGTGCTTAAATGTGCTTATTTACATTTTTTAAAAGCCCTTAAAGGTGCTTTTTTTATTTAGAGTTAGTAAAAAGTGCTTAATTTTCTATCTTTTAAAATGAGATTTTTTCTTTGCCATGTCGATTGCCGTTCTAAATTACAAAAAATTCATGATTTTTCACTATTTTCTCTGCAATATTTATCAAAAACTAGTTATTTTATCATGATTATGTAAAATTATTGAAAATGATTTTGAATTTTATTGATTTTATGTTCATAAATTAAGATTATAAAATATATTATAGATTAAGATCATAAATTTTGATTATCATAGATTTTTGATAAAATATTTTGATTAGATTATCATAGATTTTGATAGGTTATATCATAGATTAAGATAATAAATTTTTTTGAGTGCTTAAAAAGTACTTGAAAGGTGCTTATTTTTTGTTGAAAAATCTGGCTACGCACCCTGGTCAATTTTTTTTTTTTTACACTTCGTAAAATGAGTCAAAATTATAAATCAAACTAGTGGTGATTTGTTTTTAAGTGTTTATTTCTTTTAAATTTTATTAATCACAGCCGTTATCAAATAATTGGTTGAAAACTGAGGGTTTTTTTTTTTTCTTCCTTTTTACTTCAACTTGAAAGAAATTTTTTGCATGGTTAAAAAGAAATTAGTTGAGTTATTTATTGATTAGCAGTTTTATACAATTTTGAGAAATTTTTTTCCTATCATCTCAGCTAATTTCAATTTCAATTTTACTACTATCAAAAGTTTGTAGAGTGTAGGAGGCATAATTATACTCTGTTGCAAGTTAAGAAAAAACCATTATCTCTATGGAGAGAGCCTGTTTGCATCTAAGTGCATGCCAAATGGATGCCAACATATACCAGCGCGAACGTATACCAATATCGTGAGCCTTCTTTTTGCTTGCTTTCTTAAATTATGTGAAATGAGAACAAAAGTTATTGAATAATCATTTAACTAGTAATAAGGATTAATAAAAATTAAATCGTTACAAATATACCTCTTTCTGTTCGCATTTATGGAAACTGATGAAAGAATACTAAATATATTAGCTTGCAGAAGATTTTCTTCTACAGTGGAATAAGAGTAAAAATTCTTTATCTCCCATTTTATTTGGTTAAGGCATAGTATTTTTAGTGGTCCAAGCAAATCCAATATTCTTACGTCATATAGTTGTTTCTTTTTAAAGAACAAATGTTCTTCTTATTTATCAAAATATGTTGCCAAGTCTAGGATTCCAGTAAGGCTACAAAACTGTAACCTTTTTTTAATATTTCTGTAACGTATATTGTAAAAGATAGCACAAATTAAATTTTAAAAATTTTTACATTGTGTTGAAAGCATAATTGTGCAATTTGATAACGAAGTAAAATGGGAACAATATGCAGTCGTGGATGATTACTTAAATCCTATACATCGATGATCTTTTCTCAAATTGCAAGGGAGTACGGTTTGAATTAAGCTATTTGCCTTCTTGTGACAACCATTAAAATTTCACTTAATATTTCGTATTTTTAAATCAAAATCCTAACATTTGCCTTTAATCTTCATTCTCAATAGAACTCAGTTTAAATTGTATTAACATCTCCTTTGCTCTCATTGACCCTGATAGTGATTGGGTTAGAGTTATTTGCTTGAATTCAGGTATGACACATTTCCTCCACTGTGGAGAACACTGTAGGGCCATGGCTATGCCGGGGCAATTGAAGTTGTCCCAGCGGTCAAGGGAGTCCCGAATGAAAAAAGCACATATACTTTCAAAATTAGGATGTTTTAAAAACCATTCTTTCTTATATTTTTTTCTTTATTTATTTATTTATGATTATTATTATTATTTTTTTTTTTTGGAAGAACAGCAAGTTAAAAAGATAGTATAAAGGAAGAACTGTTGAAAAGAAATTTTCATTTTACAGTTATAAGTTTAAATAGGAAATGAGAACATTCTTTTTGAGAATTATTTTCTCTCTCTGAACAGCAGAGGGTTGTACAGGTATAAAAGGTCCAAAGCATTCAGTTGATCCCATAAGATCCTGCATTCAGTCTGTTTTTTTTAACAGTTGATCTATTCTGGCCCCTAAAGAAAGGTATTACATATTTCCATTTCTGAGAAAAAGAAATTTCTCTTGAAGGCGGAAATTATTGAGCGGTGTATGCCCGCCTTTCTGTCTCGCTGGACTGATCGTTAAGACGCGGTTCCCCAGCAGATCACCGAAGTCAAGCATCACTGGCTGCGGACAGTGTGCGGGTGGGTAACCATTTGTATTAGTCTGCGTAGGGACCGAGGGTGTGCGGTATGGGTCCTTGTTAAAGTGCTCGACTTTGCGTGCAGGTCGTCGGGCTTCAGAAGCAGAGGTGAAATCCCCTCTGCCGAGGATCAAAATTGTGGATGGCATGTCTTCGGATCATCCTCAGGGATGTTTCCCAGGCCGTCGCCAATAGCCCATTGTGCAGATGTAGTGCGACGTAAATGAGCTACAACATGCCCGCCTTTCTTGAAAGTAAATTAAGTGATGCTGCCATCGTATTGCCACAATCATGCCACTGGAGAATTAACCTCCATTGTTTTCTCTGGCCCACAACGGACTGTTGGCGGAAATTATTTACTTTCAAACGAATTTTAAATGTTACTGATTAATGTAATTATGTTTGCAATTTAATAGCTTATTTTATTTTTTCATTCCTACTTATTTTAAATTAATGTTTTTCTTTAGCGAAATAAAAGTGTCTTAAAAAACTTTAGCAATTTAATAGAGTTCTCAAACTCTGATGCGTCCTGATATAAATGTCACTTTTGACACCCTCATGTTACGAGTAATAATAAATTTAAATAACGAAATTTTAATACAGAAAATCAATTATTTTTTAGATTTTCCCGAATAGACTAAGTTGAAAAATATATTTTTCAACGTAGTCTATTATATATATATATTCAAGCATCAATGCCTTTAAAAGCGATTAAAAAGAAAAAGAAATCTGAAGTAAAATATTATTTGCTCGCATGACCAGCACGAAATATGTTTTGCTTCGAAAAATTTTTGGTTACAAAATTTGCCTAAATTTATCAAAGGGCCTGTTATTCTTGGAGTTTTATTAATTCTTTACCGCTTCCCAAAAAGATTTTGAAAAAAATACACAAAATCAACATATTTTTTATTTTATTAATAAATATGGGGAATTAAAACAAAGCATAATACACAAGTTTTAAGTTGAAATTGAATTTTTTTTTTATGTGTAAAAAAACATTTAGTTTGTCATGTGTAAAAAAACATTTAAGTTGCTATTTATAAAATAAAAAAAATAAAAAAAAAAAAAAAAAANAGAAAAAAAAAAAAAAAAAACATTTAATTCTCCATATCCCGATTTATGTCGGGCAAATGAAAAAAGTTAAATATTAGTCTTTTTATGCTAGTTTTTAAAACGAGGGACAACACAAAGTGATACTTTCTGAACGCAATAAAGTGATACGCCATTTTTTCCTTTTTTTTTNAAACTTTTTTTTTTTTTACAGAAAATTAGTTCAATTTTTTTTTTAAATTTAAAATAAGTTTCCCCTTTGTATTTTTTAAAAAAAATAACAAACTTCACGAGAATTTTTCCTGATGCTTCCATTGATTTAAAAATATCTTTTAGATTCTAATTCCTGCTATGAAAATCTTCTGAATAATTCAATTTAAAATAACTTAACTTAAATTTTGCAAAATACTTACTAAAACTATCATTGTATGTCAGTATTTACAAGATTTTATATTTAATTACAATAATGTGTAAAATATAATTAATGTATTAAATTTTTTATAAAAAAAATTTCTTTAACCGCACAAGACCACCTTTGACTACAGCCTCAACGATTATAGTGAAATCTCTACCTTTATATTTTAACTACTATTTGTATTTTTTGTATTCATTTATGCACATTTAGTTTTGACTATTTATTACTTGCTTTAAATTGCAGAAATTTTAATTGTAAATTGCCAAGCTTATATTTTCTATATTAGCATTTAAAATGATCACTGTTTTTTTTTTTGTTTTTTTTTAATGGTTTATTGTAGTCTGTTTAAAACTAAGCTTTAACTGTTCCTAATAAACAGAATGAACATATACTCTAATCTTTTTTTATATTGTGTTTATACAAGATACATTGTGAACAGTGTTCATTACTTTTTAGCACATGCATGTGCAATGTATAAATCTTTGGTGACTTTTGAGCAATTGTAATAAAGTTCGTTAGTTGTGTATTGCTAACTTATTTTTTTGTATCCATCGTGCATTTATATTAACTCCCCAGTGCACACCATCAACAAGGTGCGTAGCGTTTTTAAAAGTGCTTAAATGTGCTTATTTACATTTTTTAAAAGCCCTTAAAGGTGCTTTTTTTATTTAGAGTTAGTAAAAAGTGCTTAATTTTCTATCTTTTAAAATGAGATTTTTTCTTTGCCATGTCGATTGCCGTTCTAAATTACAAAAAATTCATGATTTTTCACTATTTTCTCTGCAATATTTATCAAAAACTAGTTATTTTATCATGATTATGTAAAATTATTGAAAATGATTTTGAATTTTATTGATTTTATGTTCATAAATTAAGATTATAAAATATATTATAGATTAAGATCATAAATTTTGATTATCATAGATTTTTGATAAAATATTTTGATTAGATTATCATAGATTTTGATAGGTTATATCATAGATTAAGATAATAAATTTTTTTGAGTGCTTAAAAAGTACTTGAAAGGTGCTTATTTTTTGTTGAAAAATCTGGCTACGCACCCTGGTCAATTTTTTTTTTTTTACACTTCGTAAAATGAGTCAAAATTATAAATCAAACTAGTGGTGATTTGTTTTTAAGTGTTTATTTCTTTTAAATTTTATTAATCACAGCCGTTATCAAATAATTGGTTGAAA